CCTTCCACTGGGTCAGAAATCCCACATCATTCAGCTGGATCCCAGAGAGATCAAGAGCTGCAAGGGAGGCCAAAGGCCGAAGCAACGTCTCCACGTTCACCCCTTCGATCAAGCGGCCCAGGTTCAGGAAGCGTAAGCGGCTAAAGCCTTCGAAAGTAAAGTCCTTGACCAAGACCTGGCGAGTGGGGTTCACCAAACAGTCATCTTCACAGCCTCCAGGGTTCTCCTCCTCATAGAAGATATTACAGCAGCCAAAGAGGCTAAGGGAGATAAGCGTGTGGCTGAAGCTCACCAAGGTTTGCAGACTCTTGGCTGTCAGCTTCTCACAGTTAGTCAGGTAGAGCTCAACAAGATCCTGGAAGTGAAATCAAAGTTAGAAGTATTTCACAGGTAGGGTGCCCACCCTGTTTGCTACGCCACCTCCCGCTGGGAGAGCCTGAGACCACATACCACTGAACTGACCAGGGCCCCCACCCTGTGAGGTTCTCCCAAGGAGAACTGGGAGGATGCAGGATGGAGTCATGGGAATCTCGGGGTGCCTGGGATTCTAGCTGGTGCCTGTGCAGCAGTGCTGCTATGCAAAGTGGCAGCAGGAGGCTGTCAGTGCAATACCACCTGCTTCCTGATGGCCTCCAGGTCCTGGTCCTGCACGATCTGTTCCCGCAAGTGGATCCGAGCTAGCCTGGTGCTCCGGGGATCTGAGAACAGGGTGAAGAAGCTTTCATGGGGTTCAAAGATGCTGTCCGTCTTCACCAACTCCACGTACCTGTATTGGGACAATGGTGTTAGCACAGCCTGACACACAGGCTTGGCTACAGCTCTAGCACCTTCACTGGTTAAGAGAAAATGTGTCCCAGTGTCTAAGAGCAGGCAGGCTCCCTCCTGCTCACCCAGAACAACCTTTGGGGTAATGGGAGCTGGCCTATTACCTCAACTTGCATAAAACTGACAATCCTTTGGAAAATCTCAGGCAAAGATTTTTGTAAGGTCGTGTGCATGTGAGCAAACTGGATTCTGGCAAGCACAGACTCCAGGATTTTTTTTTCCCTAGCTTTTTAAAGCCAGTAGTTTGATTTTTCATTTTCAGAAAATTAGCTGGCCAAAGTTCTCTGCCAGACTTTGTGGTCAGGAGTTCAGCCAAGAGAAACTGTGATAGCCAAATTATAAATCCCTGGAAACAGGTTGCTTTGTAATGCTATGGGAGCAGCAGCCTTAAAATGTAACATCTGTTAGCACTTTGCACTCTTATTTCTCTTTTTTGAGCAGAGAGTTTGAGAGAGAGTTGTAATGCTTCAGTGGTGGGAAACGGGAAGGCTGCTTTGTTGCTTACTGATGTTCCTGGAAGTCGCAGTGACTGTTTGTTTTACTCTGGGTTTACCTATGTGGAAATGGTGATTTCCACAGAAACTATAATGATATACAGCAGTACAATAACCCCCAGGAACACTTCCTTCTGAAGTTAATGCAAATCCTTAAATCAGCCCTACAAATTCTTCCCCATTTTTTTTTCCCCTTTACCATCACTCTTTTTAGAGAGCTATACTCCCCCCTTCCTTGAGCTCCCAGCTCCTTCCCAAACCAGACAACAGCTTCTCCACAGGCCCGAAACGTACTCATTGACAAGCTTGTCACAAATCTCGCTTGGCAAGAAGATGTCAGGGTGGAGCCGAAGAGTTTCGTTGTCCAGTAGGTAGCAGAGAGTCCCCTCCAAGTTGCGAAGGCAGTAATCCGTGCACAAGGTCATCAGCGACTCGGGGCTGTCAGATGCCATCTTGAGGGAAGTTATGGGAAGGGGAGAGCAGAAGGAAGCTTTTGATTCAGTAGATCCTTTCCTCAAATGAAGTTCCAGGATGAATTTACAGGGACATCAGGACAGCTATAAGCAGAAGGAAAGAAAAGATGTGTTGAAAAGGCCTATTGGCAAGTGTCCCGCAAAGGTGCAGCACCAGCAGGATGCTGATAGTTGCATTTACAGCCCATCGCTTGCTGACCTCAGAAGAACCTGGAGCATTTTGGCCTCTCTGGCAGGAAGCCCTTGGCATCCGCCCCCCAGGGAACACTGCGGGAATGAGTGAACATGAAACAAGCTTGGAAATGAGGCTACACAGCAAGAAAAGGTTTCCTCCTTGCAGGGGTTATCTGGCTGAAAAAGGCCCTCTGAGAGGGAAGTGGCAGAAACCACACCGCTTGGTTTCCTTCAGAGTGGGCTGGACAAACCACCAGCAAATTTACTGTCGGGATGGTGCTTTGTGCAGCCCCAGTAGGATCTGGTGGCCCTATATCTTGTGCCTGTAATTCTGTCTGCCACCATTCCAAGCGAAATTTCCTGTCCAAGATGAATGTCTCTCTGCAGTGCCAAGCCAGAAGCCTCATGCAAGTCCTTGAACTAGACCGTGATGTGGATCAGAAGCCAGAGGGAAACACACAGACTGGTTTGGCTTCCCTCTGAGTGCAGCATAAAGGTTTATGCACGTGTTGGACATCTCTACATCCTGCTCCCTGGGACTTGCTCACCCAAACCATTCCAAATCTGTCACAAAAAAAGTATGAGTGATTGACCTGGAAAAAGGCAAGCCACTTTTGCCCTTCTTCATTTTTAGTACAGGATAAAGAAGGATGGGCAAGGCAGATAATTAGGGGAAGCTATTCCTGTCTACTCTCTTAATTGAAAAAATCTCATGGCTCTAGTGTTGAGACTCGCTCACTGGCGCCGAAGGAGGCTTGCTGGAGACTTGGAGGTGTTTAGCAGATGTGACTGAAGACCAACAATGCCATTCCACTTTCAAAGGGTCAAATCACATCAGAAAGCAACCCTAATGTGAACTCTCCTGTATATTTCCACGGGCACACAAATAGCGTGTTGAAATATTTATTTTTTTATGTAAGCCCTGTGTCTTATCAATAGGTCTGTCCCTGCTGGCAGTGAGAACGCTGCTGTCGTGGAGTCAGTTATTCTCCTATTCTCTGTGCTACATCTGAGCAGCCACTGCTGGGGAAGTTGTTGCAAAACGTTCTTAACTCTATTCCATTGCTGGTCTTTATCCTGCAGCTGCAAAGATCGGGATTCTTGTCTGTACCTCCAGTCCTCTGCTTCTTTAAAGTCTCAGGTGCTCTCTCTTTCCTTCATTCCTGCAGCATCAGTATAAGATGGAAGATTTGAACTCTGTTTCCTCACCATAATCACTATCCCTGAAGGCACCCGGGGTGGGTCAGGCACCTTCCCTCCTGCTCTGCCCACTGTCTGGGCAATGACGCCTGTACGAAGGATCAGCTAAGGCTGCAGACGAGGTCACCTTTCAAATTCAGGCACCAAATGGTCTCTGTGGGTGACAGGAGCACAGCTGTGACTGAGCCTGCCTGACAGCCTGGACTCCTGGCCTTCTGATCCCTCCCTGTGTTGCAGAATGGATTTCCATGCAAACATGAAGGCAGCCCAAGCTGGAAATCAAAGCTCTTTTATTCTTCCTTCTGCGTTTCATTAGCTCTTTTTCTGAGGGCGTGTTTCGGCTCCAGAGACAGAGAGTTGGCCAAGGAATTAACCCAAGACAGAACGCAGCCTCTCTGAAAGCAAGCAGAGATGAGCAGAACTGCTCCTCGGAGGAATGGCCGTGCTGGATCACTCCTGCAGCATGCCCACCCGAGGCCTTGTCTCCCCAGGCCAAATCTCGTTCTAGGGTAAGCGGACAAAGCCTTACAGGCCGAAGCAGGCATGGGTGATGAACTGGACTTGTCTTTTGGCTTTACTCGAATTTGATTGACGGTTTCTCCTTCCTATAAGCACCTTTGGGAACTATATCTACAGGCAACTGGCAGGATCATCTTCCAGTCCCCAAATCCTTCAAACCCCACTGTGTTGTGGCCTACAGCTTTCACCAGTGGGGATCTCGGGCAGGTTCTCTGCTGGTTTTGGCTCAACGGGCAAAAGGTCTCCAAGCAAAAGCAGATGCTGAGTAAAAAAACCAAACCCATAAACTCAGTAATCACAAAAGTTGTACTTAACGTTCTGATCAGAGATAGTTTAAAGGGTGTCACCTGCTCTTCTGGGTCACCAAGTCCTGAGCTAGGGTCATAATAACATAAAATTATGACTTCTCATGCATGCCACAATAGCTCAGAGACCTTTGAGATGCATGTGGCACAAACACTGAAAATGAGTAAGACAGTGGGCCTCCAATTTTGAAAAAGAAGGAAATCCACAGTCCACAGCACTGTCCTTTGCAGTTAAGGCAGGAGAGAAGTCAAGGATGAACTGGGCCACGGAGCACAGGGCATTGTTTCACTGGCCCTGAGGTGCTGGCTAAGGGAATGCAGGTGGGAGGAAGTGGTCCTGCGCTCTGCACTGCGTCTGCTTTGGAGACGACTCCGCTTCACCTCCAGAACGAGTCCCTCTCGCAGATTTTGCCTGAAGTGTGCTTGAGAGAATCTTTCCAGAAAGGCAAGATCAACTGGAAGATCTGAACCAGCAGGAAAACGTGTTCTGCTACCCCTACCTGTCCCCCTGTGCCGTCAGGCAGAGGTCCCGCAGCCAGCGTTCTTCCCCTGTTTGCTACTGACGGCCAGAGAAATCGAAAACAAATTCCCACTGACAATCTATTATCACGTGCAGCTGGAAACGGCCAGTGCTTGGGACTTGTCCAAGCAGCTTAGAGCACTAAAGGGCAAGGACTGCCTTCCCGCGGCTCTGACAACCCTCTGTTCCCTCTCTGCTGAGACCAGCATAATGCAGCTGGTTGATCCCAGCCCTGGAGAAATCAGCTGCGCTTTAACTTCTGAGCTCCCCGTGATCCACCAACAAAATCGCATACAGAAGGTATATACAGAGAAAAGTGATTAAACCATCCTGGCAAAATAACAGCAAAGCAAAGCATTCATCCCCCTGATTTATTCGGGATATCTGAGCAGCACCCAGCGCTGCTGCCGTGACCTTTCGTACAGGACATGACAGAAGCCAGCCTAACCTCCTCGGTCAGACTCAAGACACAACACGTGGGCAGGCGGAGATGGAAGCAAGAGCATCAAAAGCTGCCCTGATCAATATTGTCTCTAGTTATAAGCTCAGTGTGTTGACAAAAATAAATGAACTAGAGATGCTGACGAATCATTAACATTTGCCTAATCATTATCCTCAGGCAGCTTTCCACAGGCACTGGATCAGCAAGCTGCCTGCCCAGCAGGCTGTCGCGCTGCTTTGCAACGACGGGCAGCGAACTGCCAGGTGCGTGCCTGTTTTTGAAGGGCCAAAGACAGACATGCGAAACACGCCGAAAATTCAAGCGCAAGAATCGAAAAGCGACTAGAACTGCAGCTTTGCCATTTGTTTCTCCAATAGATTTGCCTGCATCTTAATGCACGAAGGAATCACATCCCTTGGAGGAACAGGAGCAGCCACATAAGAGGCTGCGCACCCAACTACCCCCAGCCCTCTCTGCGGAGTCACAGCTCCCTCCCACCACCCACCCAACCCAAGGAAGCCGCTGCACATGCAGCTCCGCTCTCCCCCACCACCTGCCCTCCAGGTCCAACCCGCCTCTTTGGCAAACATCACTTATTCGTAGGCTACATCCGCAGTGTGATGGCATCTCAGGCTGCACGGGCACGCGAGCCTTGGGACCGCTCTTGGCACTCCTGGGGCTGTCCGTGCCAATATTTTCTACCTTGGACTTCAGACTGATCTTCTCTCCCAGCCTCTGTCTCCAGGCGGCTGCCCGGAGCCAAGCCTGACTCACCGTGGCTCCATGCCAACGACATAACGTTTACGCTGCTGCTACAAAAACGACCGGCAGCACTGACATTTCCAGCATCAGGGACTTGTCCAAGGAGAGCGCAAACAACACGCACCGATGCGAGCTGTTTACGGCGATTTCAGAATAACAAATTTAATGTAAATGCAGAGTTTGGCACAGGTTACGTTTCGAAGGGAAACTGCACCGTCATTTCAGCTGGCATCTCGCAGCCACAGATCGCTGTGTTTTTATTAATTGATGGGTCACCACAGCTTGCGCGGGGAAATGACTGGAGCATCTCTCCTACGAGGAGAGGCTGAAGGAGCTGGGCTTGTTCAGCCTGAAGAGAAGGCTGAGAGGGGACCTTATAAATGTTTATAAATATCTGCAGGGTGGGTGTCAGGAGGACAGGGCCAGACTCGAAATTTCCAGTGGTGCCCAGTGACAGGACAAGGGGCAACGGGCACAAACTGAAGCAGAGGAAGCTCCAGCTGAACATGAGGAAGAACTTCTTCACGCTGAGGGTGACGGAGCCCTGGCCCAGGCTGCCCAGGGAGGTTGCGGA